TTTTCAACTGCCAAAATTTTACTTTGCATTTGGCACAGCAAAATTCGTTTTAATTGTACACAATAGCAAATTTTTCCACCCCGTCTCAGCGCGGAGAAAAAAGTTACCGATTGGCACAAACTCCCAAGCGAGACAGAGTTTTGTTGTCTGGGCATTTGACAGCACACTTTTTCATTTGTAAAATGTCGTCAAAAAAAATTAGATTCGAGCTTTTCGGGCTAAATTTATATCTTCAATCAAAATAAACGTTATCTCTACTCTGAAGAATTCTGCGAAATTAGAAAATATCTTTCAAGCAACAAAAATGATAGTTGAAAGCATGCGAGAAAAAGTATGCTTCGCTCTTTTTGCCGTCTACACCTGCGGGATCTCGCATGCGTCGCCACGATATGACAAGAAGAAAAAAAGTAATTTTCTGGCTGACATATGTAATTTCGGCGCCTTATTATTTTCTTTAAAATTAACCAAAATTAAACAAAGAATATGAAGACGAAGCATAAAGAAAAAAATTAAAGAAATTTTTGAGCGCATGTTTGTGCTAACCATTTTGATATTTTTGGACGTGTTTTGCAACCAATTACCACGCATTTCCTTTTAATTACATTTGAACAAAAAAATGTATTGCAAATCGCTTTAAAATCACTGAAATAATCTACCACCAAAGTTCACATAAAGAAATAGATGTGAAAAACAAAACAAAAATAGCAAACTTCAAAATTAAGAAAGTCACGCACTTTTTTTCTCAACCGGTCAGATCTGTTCTAATTGGTTCATGGTCAAGGATAATCGTAAAAATTGGTGTCAGAATTGGGATTTTTAAATAAATCCCGAAGGATAAACTTTTATAATGGCAATTCAGGACCTAAAGTTCGAGGAACTCAAACAGGAAATGGAAAGGAGAAATTTAGCAACCTCTGGAAGAAAAGTGGAGTTACTATCACGGCTGTGAGAGGCTATGGAAAAGGAAGGCATCGACGTTCACAAATGCGACTTCCATCGTGAGGATGACGCGACATCCACGAAAGACGAACAGAAGCAACAGACTGCTGGTTCATCGAAGGGTGTGCATCAGACATCTACGAAGGTTGAAGAATAGGGAAAACCTCCTCATTCATCAACAGGTATAGCCATCAACATGCTAGTGGCTGAAATTTCATCCCAGTTGGATGTGCGCTTGTCCCAGATGTCTTCAGAGCTACAAGCGCAGGAGTCGGGTACGTCATCACAGATGCAAACACAGGTCGAAGCACAAAGGTCGGAGTAGTCATAACACAGGTATCAGCGCAGGTGTCATACCGGCTGTAAGGGCAAGAGGTGCGTATATCCTCCAAGCTGGAAGCACAGTATCC